AACTAAATCTTAAAACACCTTTCCCCCACCCTTCCTTTCTTCCCAGACTTAACTTCACTCCCAGTTTTCTCTACCTTCTGCCTCCTGAGTGGTGCAGGGGGATGGAGAATGGGGGTTGGGGTCAGTCTCTGCCGCTTCTTCCTCCTCAGAGGGAGGACTCATCACACTCTTCCCTGCTCCAGCATGGGCTCCCTGTAACGGCAGACAGTCCTCCACAAACTTCTCCAATGTGTGTCCTTCCCACAGGCTGCAGCTCTTAATGAACTGTTCCAGAGTGGGTCCCTCCCTCCCATGGGGTGCAGTGCCTCAGGAGCAGACTGCTCCAGCGTGGGTCCCCCATGGTGTCACCAGCCCTGCCAGCAAACCTGCTCCACCCTGGGCTCCTCTTTCCACGGGGCCACAGGTCCTGCCAGGAGCCTGCTCCAGTGTGGGCTTCTCATGGGGTCACAGCCTCCTTGGGGCATCCGCCTGCTCTGGTGTGGGGTCCTCCCCAGGCTACAGGTGGGGATCTACTCCCCCATGGGCCTCCCTGGGGCTGCACCAGGGGCTGCAGGGGAATCTCTGCTTTGGTGCCTGAAGCACCTCCTCCCCTCCTGCTGCACTGACTTGAGTGTCTGTAGGGATGCTCCTCTCACATAGTCTCATTCCACTCTCTGGCTGTAGTTGCGCAGGTTTTTTTCCCCCTTCTTAAATATGTTATCCCAGAGGCGCTGCCACCCTTGCTGAGCCAGCTGGCGTTGGCTCTGTCGAACACAAGGGGAAGCTTCTCGCAGCTTCTCACAGAAGCCACACCTGTAGCCCCCCTGCTACCAAAACCTTGCCATGCAAACCAATATAAAGTGTTTGTAGTTGCAGTTGATTAAATTATACTGTCATTTAAAATCAAATTGGAATTGTTGGGTAGCGGTTAAAACAATCACATCTATGTTAGATCATTTCTCAGTTTAATTACTGATTTATTAGTTGATCTTGAGCAATGTCCTAACCTTTCTGCCATTCACTTTATCTGTAAAGTGAATATAACATACAGCTGATTTATGTGGGCTACCTCATGTCGTTTATAAAACACCCACAGCTGGAAGGTTCTGGAACAGTCTTTTAGAGATCAGCATAACACCAAAATAGTTTGTTAAACTTGAGGAATATGTTCTGATCTGTTAATATTCACCATGCATTTAAGGACTTCCCCTTTAGATTCCAGTCTGGTATAATTGTCTCTCCCTGTTTTGGTTTTTAAGTACAAAAAAATGAGCCAAAGTAATGTCTGGTGTCATGTAGAAAATGTGGTTTGTGTATGGGCTTCTCATGTGGTCTTGATGAGGAACTTTCTTGTGTATCACACAATAGCATTTATGCAGTACTAAATGTAATCTAGAAGATGTCTCTCAACTATATATTAAGAGCAGTCATAGGACAAGCATTACTTAAAGCCATGTAGAAGTCGGTGGAACAGGTAAATGTTTTATTTTTAATTTGTAAGATTTTGAAAACACTTGATGTTAAAGTGCTATGTAGGCAACTCAAATAAGTTATATCAGGGGAAAAAAATACAATTGACCTTTCTGTAAGATGCCAGAAGAGAACAAAGTATGTGATTGTGATATAAAAATGTATTACTACATTTGCATATAAAAAGTATTCTAAACTGATATCCTAAGAAACAACTGTGAAGTCCCTGATCTTTTGCCAACAGCAGCACCGTCAGAAATGTGGATAAACATTTGGAGTGGACAGTGGATGGGGTCTTCTAAGGTACTTACAGTGCCATCACCTTTTACAGAAACCAGGCTCCCTGCAATACAGGCGTCTCAGAACTCAAAGGAGGTGTTAGTTGCTGTACCTTTGCCTCAATACAGCAACAACTATATTTTCAAACTATGTCTGTACTGTGAGTGTTTTCTTTGAGCTCTCCATAGGCTCCTATTTTTTCTTGATATATTACTAAATTGAAATTCATTGTCATAAAAAGAGGGGATTCTCTCTGAAATTGACTGCACTGGAGGGACCATAAAATCAGTTTCATGGAAATAATTCCATCTATCTATGTTTGAAGGTTTGAATTTTCATTGAAAAATAGAACTTTGTGCTAATACTACCATTAGAGAAGCTATACGTCTCAAATTGTCATCTTAGTCATGTTTTTTCTTTATCGGTTCATTTCTGTGGAGGGAGATAAGTGATTGCATATATACTTTATGTCCTATAAAGATACTTCAGAATTTTTTCTCTCATCTTCAAAATAAAGGTCCTGTTTCAAATTTTGCTAAAATCTGCAATAATTTTTCTTTAATAAGCTTTGGGTTACGCCCCAAGGTTCCTGTAGTTCTGGTACTAAAAACCACAAGTTAGTAATATTTTACTTAGCTTTTGATGCCTGCCTGAATGCAGAGCAGCACACTGTGTAAATTTTAAGTCTTGTAGAAAAGTACTGCTGCAAATTAAGATTCCACTGACTGAAAGGGTATTTCAATAAGATGAGTGGTTTTTTGTGTTGAATTGTTTCCAGAGCCTAATTAAAATATGCATTTCCAGTTCATATTCTAAAAATTGTATGTTTCCATTGATTGTATTTAGTAATATTTCTGTGTTGACTCTCATCCATCTTTTCCAAAATCTTAATGAAGGAAAAATTTCAAAATCTAATGCTTACATCTTTTTAACTGCAGCACTGTTTCCATTTTTGAGTGTATTGGTCTAGATGGTCATCACAGATTTAAGAGGTATGCTTTTTCTTTAATTAGGAAATGAATATACAGCTTGAGAAGATGAAGCAAAAGCAAGAATGTGAAAGGAGGAAAAGGATAGCTGAAGAGAAGCACAAGGAATGGCTCCAAAAAAAAAGGGAAGAGGTAAATACTGCTTTGGCTACAAACATTCTAGCGCATACCATGCTTAAGTAAACCTATGTTAAATTTACTTAGACTGTTTGGACAACCATGTTTTTAGTTTGTTGAATGAATGACTGTTTTAATTGAAAATTATAAAACCACACCAACACAATTAAACATTTTTCCAAGACTGTTTTTTTTTTCCATAAGGTATAAAGAGATTTGTTTTCTCAGTAGTCCCTGACAACTGGCCTGCATCTTGTGTAGTAGCCTTCTGCTAATTATAGCTGAGGTTCTGGTCTTCAGTATACCCTACTCTTTCTGACTTCCTAGGTTCAATGCCCAAGCATTCTGGGTAAAGTGTATATCTTGACTGTCTGCAACGTCTTGTAGACCAAGTAGAGCCAGAAGGAGGATTTAGTTAAGTACCATTGTGGACAGGCAAATAGTATGGTAGAGTTTAGAGGGATAATTGAGGTGTGAGGCCAGATTCAGGAAATTCTTAGTAGACCACAGTTAGCATTTGGGAATTCCTTCATCCAAAAAGTCATTTCTGAGTGGGATCAAAAAATTTTTTGAGTTCTTTTGAGACATGTGCCTAAGTCCAGGGTCAGAAGCAGACAGAATCCTGATCTCAACAGGGCACTGTACAGCTCTGTGTCACACAAAGCAAGCATGTGTACTGGGTGGCAAAAATGGGAACGTTTCAGAGGCTTGGGCTTGTTCAGCCCCTGGTAGTTCATGGGCATATGCATTCATTGTCTCATAGTCTGTAGCAATACCAGTTGCTTACAGTTCTATACTTCCGGTTCTGAATAAAATCAGATGAAATTTGATTTAAAATGTCACAATGGCATTATCTGGGCTAGATATCCAGACCTCATACGTTTGTCTTCACCATTTCAGAACTCCTTCAGATTCAGTCCAGAACCACTAGAATAACCTGTGTTTGGATGTAAACTAATTACTCTTTGTCTCAGTGCTGACTGGATGATTGGCATAAACCCACCCCAAAACTAATCCTGCTCTAAGCATGAATTATGATGTAGAAAGGATCCTTCCTTCTTAAAGTACGCAGGAAAATGCAGATTTATTGTTTAGCACAAACGATGCCTTTTTCCTCTTCTAAAATGCAAATTAAATTATAGGTGTCTGTGACTATTCATTGGCTTGAAAGAGTTTGGGCTGCCTGTTCAAGTTGTTCACAGTTCAAAACAGTGAAAATTCTTGTTTTCTTTCCTACTCCCCCCCTTGAACTTTATAAATGTCTGCTTATTTGGGTCCTCCTTGGAACTTTGTCTTTGTGGATTTACCAATTAACAACTTTTCTATTGTCAGTGGGAATGGGAGGTCTTTTTTAATGGAAATCGCATCAGCCCAGAGATGGGGGGAAAAAACATATTTGTGTCTGGACTTTATCATATTATATTTTGGAAGGATAAGGTCATCCTTAGGCCATGTCCCAAGCTTTTACCAAAAGTAATCTGATTTTCATTTAAATCAGATGATTCATTGGCTAGTCTTTTCTGTAAACCACACTCAAATCAAGAACAAACTGAACTTAAAAGCTTAGCTGTCTTTAGGATATTAACATTTGTGCTGCATAGACCTTACCACTTCAAGTTTCCACAAGATTAGTTGTGGACCTGGACACACACTGAAGGATGAATATGTCAATTTAGTGACTAAGAAGGTGTTTAAAAATGTGTGAAGATTTCACATGAAGGTTATGATTCACGAGCACTGAGCACTGAGTTAATATGATTTTCTTGGGGAGTGTGTATTCGTCTCATATTTGGGAAAGCTCACTTCCATTTCCTCCTAGACGCATCAAAAGTTGCTCCTTGAGGCAAAATGTGGAATATTCTTCACTGAAATAGGCATTAAGCACTCACCTTTTTCATATCCAGTTACTGATTCTGAGCCTCTGGGTGCAGACTGCAGAAAATGTTTAACTTGAGAGGAGGCAGTTGTTACCTCTATAATCTCCCCAAGTCTGTATCCTTTCCCGTTGCTGAATACTGTGCTGATGAAGGAAGTAAGGGATGGTTGAGCATACATGAAAACTTCTTCCTTCATCTTGAGCATCCAGCACCAGGAGACACTGGTGGAAAAATCTTCATACTGTGAATAGGAGACACATTTGTGTCAAAGTAGAATGTTTGCATGTGCATAAAAGAATTCTGCTGGTTTTCTGTATGCCAAGCCAGTTTTCTTGCATTTTGTTGCATGGCAATGTCAGTTGTGGTACTCTGACTGTTAAATATAGTCCTTTAGGGTCAGGTTAGGAAGCAAAGCTTGAGCACTATTTTTGTTCACTGGCAGTTTCATTTTTTATTGTTTAATATATATGTAAATCTATATGCTGTGAAGTTTTTTTTATGCTTCCAATCATTTTGCATAAACTATTTTTGAAAATAATGAATCATAACCATTTAATATTCTTCTATGTAAATAGCTTTTGTGATTTTAAAACTTCTAAATGAACTAGAAGTCATACGTTGAAATATGAGCTATCAAAGAGCATTCTAAGCTGTGAAATATGTTTATGCAAATATGACAAAATTTTGCAGCTCACTAGGAATTAAAAGCTTAATAAAATCAATGGTAAGGCACTATCCTGGTTCTACTAATGCCTGCACAATTTTCAGTACAATAGTAGATCTCTGCTGGACAAAAATAGTCTTACTTTCTCTTTCTCCTAAGGTTGAGTCATTTGTGGGCAAACAGTAAATTGTCTGTTTGACTTGTTTTGTTTTAGACGTAATAGAGCTCTGTTTTTTAACATGCCATAGGAATATCAATCAAAATATTTTAACTCTAAAATATCTCCAAACATGCTTGTGATTCCAGAAGAAAATTTGCTTCAACCCAAGATGATTTTGTATGTAACTAAAACTTTTATTTCTGAGTTACTGTTAAATTTATTGGTAAAAAGGAGGTGGGCATGATTATAAATGCTGAGCAAGCAAAGCTGGTGTTCAGTGTCATGTTTTCATTGTTAAAGTAGCCTTGATTCGAGTGGTATGCAGAACTGGCATAGATCAGCAAAGCCATTAGAATCTGTCTTAATCTTTCTGGAATGTTAAAATGTTTGCTTTATTGCTAATTTCTGTATTTAGACTCCAGTTTGGTAAGGAGCTCTGTGTAGGCAACTCGCAGCTGAACTGTGGAGTTTAAAAAGAAAGGAATTGATGTCCTCAGTCCCCATCTCATCATAGAACTAAATCTTGAATAGGTATTGAAAAATAACTACTGTCTCATTTCTTCAGGTTAGAATTAATGCTTGTGAAAGCTTATTTTCTTTGTGTCTGTTCATTCTGGTACTTTATGTTTCTTTTTTGGTTTTTTTTTTTTTTTTTTTTTTTTATTGAAAATAAAACCAAGAGGCAAAGAGGGGGTAGAATTTATCATTTCATGTTTATATGCTGACTCCCTGTAGATACCGAACAGATTCAGTTAACTTCAGTCATTGTTCACCAGTGAGTAAATTTAAAAAAAACAATCGACAACCAGTAACACCCTCACCTTACCCTCCATCCCCCTAACTGTATCTTGGAATTACTTGGATTGGGGGACCTACACGTGCGATGTATTTTGAAATCTCCTCTCCATAGTGGCATCTTTGTGACTTGTGTCTTGTCAAATGTGTTCTTGCTTAACAAATAAAGTTTTGTGACTGTTTGGCTTAGCAGGCTGTAGATGATACAAGACTGTTTACAGACTTGGGTAAATAACAGTTTAAGGAGGAAGATAAAAAGTACTGTTTAACATCTTCAAAATATTTGGGAATCCCATTTCTTATTCCCTCCAAGGATTTTTCTCTCTAATCTAAATTCTGATGGATTAATAATGTGATGACAAAACTCTGGCTGGTTATTAAGTATGCAAAAAAAAAAAAGTGCTAGGGTGAGGTCATAGATGTTTACTTTCTTTTGTAGTGTTTCCTTTGAGGACCACCACTATTCAGAATTTGTCCAATACGGTTCAATTCCAAGTTCCTTCACAGTGTGACCAGGCACTGGTTCTACTGCCTGATAACTTACTGTGTTCTACTTGGTGGAAGTTTCTGGAGATGCTAGTGAAAAGCTTCTCTTCTGTTTTGGAAACCATGTAAGCTGCTGTCTGAAGTCAGTTTGGGTTTTTTGCCCTCATTTGCTCTTGAATTAATTAATTCAAGACATATGTAGCCTTCTTCCAGGAAGAAGATTGTACCCTTACAACCTCATCTCCCAGCAATGAGGTGCAGTATGGGAGAATTCCTTACTAAAGTTTGGTTTATAAAACCTTTGTCTTTCCAGACTCCCTGTCTTCCTTATTCTGTGTCCTTTTCTGTTTGGGTTTTTTGCCCTCATTTGCTCTTGAATTAATTAATTCAAGACATATGTAGCCTTCTTCCAGGAAGAAGATTGTACCCTTACAACCTCATCTCCCAGCAATGAGGTGCAGTATGGGAGAATTCCTTACTAAAGTTTGGTTTATAAAACCTTTGTCTTTCCAGACTCCCTGTCTTCCTTATTCTGTGTCCTCTAACTGGTATTTCTCTAAAGAACTGAGGATGGTTTTGACATTTATGTAGTCTCACATGAAATGTTGTTATCTTAATGTAAACAGGGACCCAGCCCCTGTCTTTATAGCTTGTAAACGTAATTTGGGTTTGACTTGCCCACCTATCAAGATTGCTGTGTTTACAAGACTGTATCTGAAGAACCCCAGTTATATATGACTGACTTCCTAATGTTTTGCCATGGAATAGGAAGCTTGTTGTTGACAGTAGCAAGTTTTTTTCTTTTCCTGTTTTACATGAACTTTTGAACCCGAGATGTGGAGTCTCTTTTATTCCTATCAACAGCTATGGGATTGAACACTTAAGTAAGGTATATGTTATTGCTGAATTACTGATTAATTGCCTTCAAATCAAAGTACCAAAGGCTTTGAGAAATGCATTGTGGATGCATAAACTGTGAAGTGTCTGTAAACTGATGTGACTGGTTCATTCTTCAGAACATTGTCATGACAGT